ATTTTTCCACATATTTATTTACTTATTTATTTCTGATATGGAATTAAAAAAAAAAAAATCAGTGGGGAGATTAATACCAGTAAGGAAGAATGCAAGATTCAAAACAAAATAATGAGTTTGGAGGAAGATAAGCAGCTGGGAGGCAGACAATACAACACAAGATCCCTAGATTTTAAGGCCAGCAGGAACCAGTAACACAGGTCAGTGGTCATGAAGTTCTGTAAGTAAGGGAAACACATGGAGAAGAGGAAAAAAGTAAAGGCAGGTGCAGAGAGAGCTAAAGTCATTCTAAGCAGAGGATCAACACAAAACATTGCACCTTCTTGCCAGGCAAAGCAGAGCAGGTCAGGGAAGAGAATAACGGGAATGAAAGCCAGCTTGGGAAAGGTATTTACAGTACTCTAAGGCAATACTGCTGGGGTTTTTGATGGTGGAAATGCAGCTAAGGGGGAGGGAGAGGGATGAATAATGTTGCCCTAGGAGTTTGGATAAATTCTTGAAACAGTTGCAGTTGGCAAGTATTTTGTCTGCAGTTGGCAAGTATTTTGTCCTGATAACACAAAGACCTTTTTCCTGGTCTTCAAACATTAACTAATATGGAGGAAAACACTCGTTAAATTAATAGAATGAGCAGCTGCCTATATGAGACTTGGGCCCTTTATGGTTATCACCAGTAGTTAGTTAACTAGTTGGGTAGGAAATGATATAGGTGATCTGACATTTGAACTGCTAAGTTACGGGCCATATCAATAAAAACATGACACAGGAAGGGAGTAAAACATTTCTAAGGACTGGGACTTTGGAACAGGATTCAAGTTAACTTCTTAACTGATTTTTGTATCTCTATGTTTTTCTGAGTTATCGATGTGGGTTTTTTTATTGGGGTGTTTGTTTTTGTTAAAAGAAAGATTTGGCTTTGTCTGTGGCAGGAGGTTTTCCACTTACACCAGTATCCCAGCATCTGTGGCCTTTTGCATTTCTGTGGTGAGAGCTCAAACATCCAGTTACATGTAACTTGGTCACAGTGGCTTATGCAATTACCAGCCTTAAGCCGAGCTGTCACAGTGGTGCCCAGCTGCAGGGTCAGCGCTACAGCAGCAGACAGATGCTCTCCGGTGCTGTGGCGCCTTCCACATTTCTCACCGAGCCGGTGCACCAGGGCCCGAGGCTCTCCGCGAGCAGAGCCAACAGCTCGGCCTGACCTTAAAACACTGGCGTTAGCCTGGAAGTGGCTGGGAAGCTGCAGTATTCCAGCGCAGCGGCAGGTTATTCACTGCTAAATAAAAATAATAAAACGTTCCCAACCAACCTGCTATAAAGCAGAGGCTTCATGCCAGGGTGCAGCTTGTCAGTTCAGAGCTGCAGCTATCGCCGCGCTTCGTGCCCAGCCGCCCCGGGACCGCAGCAGCCTCCTCCGCACGGCTGTGCGCTCCGGGGCAGCCGAGAAGAGGACAAGGAACCTGGGCCGGGGGCTCATCCCCAGCCCAGCCCCAGCCCTGTCTTACCGCCCGGTCGAGCCGGCTGTAGTGTTTGGGAAGCTCCGCGGCCGCTCCGCCCCCGAAGGGCAGCCGTGGGGCAGCCGGTGCCGCGTTTGCCGGAGGGCCGCCGTGGAGGCGGCGGGTTCCTCCCGCTGCCAGGTGCTGGCGGAGACCTCACCGTCACCTCCCACTCGTCCTCCTCCTCCTGCCCGACAGGTTTCGGGGCGGGTGGCTGCCCTTCTTTTTTCCTCCACGTCATGGAGGAAAATGCTGTGCTGCACACACATCACACGCCCCGTGCACACAAGAGCGCCCCTTCGAGCCGAGCAGGGCGCCGGCCCGGGACGGCCGCGACCCGCTCGGGTGAGTGCGCGGCCGGCGGGCACGTCCCGGGACAGAGAGGCGAGAGGTTCCGCCAAGACAAACCCGAACTTGGCGGAGCGGCGGCTGCGGAGCCAGCAGCTCGCACCCTCCTCCCGGCGGCTTCGCTGGAGGCGCAAATTTGGGTGTTCGGCCGTGGCGGCGGAGTTTGGGAGGAGAAGGAGGAAGGGCGGCACTGTGTGACTCCGCGGCAGCGGAGCGGGGCGGCGCTCCGCGGGGAGAGGAGAGCGCCGGGCCGGGCCGGGCCGGGCCGGGCGCGGCGCTGGAGGCGGCCGGAGCAGCAGGAGGACGGTCTGTGCCACCGCTGGTGCTGCGGGAGAGCTCCGGTAAGAAGGTGCTGTTTGTCTTAAAAGTTAATGACGGGGGGGTTTTGCGTATCAGTAACAGGGTGCGGTGTCTGGAGCCGGGGCACACACCTGCCCGCAGCCCGGCTGGCAGGCAGGGTACCCAGATGTCGTAGCTTCGTATCCTCTCCAGGATCAACAGTTGCACCAACTTAGAGTAAGGTTTGGTAAGAGGAATCGGGGTTGCTGTGATATTGTGATTTTTTTTTTTTTTATCTCGCAGAGAGAAAGTAGCATATTGTCATTATTGGGTGAACAGATTTACTAATGCCAGAGTAAGGCTTAGAAAAAGACTTTACGGGGGACTTGCACTGTGTCCCACCCGAGGATCTGCTCCCCTGAACATCCTCTGACTCATTCCAAATAGCCAATCTATAAACCAACCAGTTTAATTTTGCGATATGCATGTTTCCTTAATAGTAGCGTTTTTACATCAATACATTTCCTTACTAGTAATCTCTTTGCATTTGCTTGCTTGTGAGAGAAACAGCTGTGGGGTAGAGGTGGTAGATAAACTTGCTACTGAAGTGGAGGTGAATAGCAAGAGAGGGCTGCTTGCTTCTTTCAGCCAGGGAATTACAACAGTCTGGGAGGCAAAAGATTGAAAACAAGTACAAAAACGTGGGTTTTTACACTGCTCAAATGAAATGTAGTGTGTTGCCCCCTACCCCCACACTCCCTAGTCTGTGTGTCAGAAATCTTATGTAGGTCCAAAAATGACTGGGTAAAATAACTAAAATTTTCATAAAAAACATACATTATAACCTGTCTTTGAAAACTTCTAAGCAGTAAGGAAATGGATCTGGAAAGGACATGTGGAGAATATGTTAAAGAGTATTTGTTCTTTCTCCTGTTTCCAAGCATCAGCTTTTGACTACTATGAGACAACATCTTGGGCTGGATGGGCTCCACGGATATGATGTGATTCTTCTTTCATGCACATAGGTTTTCTAAGATGGTCATAGAAAGGGAAGTGAAATGCCATTACATATGTACAGCTGTGGTTTCTGGTTTTATACATCTGATAGTGGTAGCTTTTGGCCCAGTCCCATGTGTTTTTGTGTATGCCGCCCAGAGTAAAGGCATTTAAAGATTACCAACAAGCCTGGCTAATGCATTTTGACATACATGTAGTATAAATTAGTAATTCCTAAGGATTATAACTTTCTGAAAAGCAGTAATGTTGGTAAGGAGTACATTCAAGTTTCAGTTGCTTGGGTTGGCACCACCTCTGTGTGATATTACACTGGGTTTTCAGACCCCCAAGAAAGGGGTCCATACACTGAAAACTGCATGTGTACTGGGTTCTGTAGGTTTTGTGGTTCATAACCTCTGCTATACATGCTATTTTATAGCCTAATATGTGCAAATTATTCTAGTCAGTCAACAAGCTGGCTGTGACCATCCTATAAATGCCTTGCTAAGAGGCAGGAGACTGTATCTGAAATAAGTAGTCCAGGTAGGTTTAGGGGAATTAAGCTCAAAGCATTTACGTAGCAGTTACAGCTACCGAGTCATCAGGAGTCATGTGGTGACTCCAGCTTTTGAGATCTTCCAAGAAATATTGATAAAGGAACTAAGAAATGTAGCAGATGAGTCATAAAAATCTCATTTCTGCAACATAAACAGCGGGGAGCTGAATCCAGCAAGGGAGTACATTTTGCGTAATTGTCAACAAGTCAAGTCCCATCAGATGTCTCCCTGAAACACTCAAAGATGGGGGGACCTGGAACCAAGAACTTTCCAGAACTGGGGGAGAGTACAACAGATGACAGGCATGAGCTTATTTGCATGGGGATGCAGAGGGCTCTGGGAAATTACCTCACCTTCTCACTCTTATCTTAAACAAAGGTGTTCTGCCATGGCATCCCAGAGCTATTTTCCCCAAGGGCATCTCCCACAGTATTACATGCTTGCTGAACTTGGTGAGGGTTTTGATGGACTCATTATGTCACAGTGCTTTCCTGCCTCTCCCCAAGTCCTCTTTACTCTGCTGGAGAAGGAAATTAGGTTGCTTTGATGTGATCTGCTCTTTTTATGGTGTTCCTTTCTCCCTGCCTTCTTGGTGCTTAGAAATGCTATGTGAGTAAACAAAAATGTAGGCTTCTTATACAGATAATGCCTTCCACAGCTTAATAGCAATAAAACCTTCGCAACCAACCTGCTAAAACGCAGAGGCTTATTAGCTCAGAACTGGAGCCATAGCCACCCCTGGAACTTGCCATACCAAGCCTTCATGGTTACTATTTTTCAGCTAACGTTTTTAACGTTTAATTTTCTTTTTTAATTTGTGCAAGAAATAATGTCATCCCTGCTACTTCTGTATGTCCAACTTCATATGCATGTGAAGCACTGATGCTGGTGGAGGCTGAGGGCAGTGGCAGGATGGAGCAGACACTAGGACTTTGTTTGCCCACCGAGCTGGCTGTACCCATATTGATCTACTGGGACAGAGCATCCTAAAGAGAAGAGACCACAGCAAAGTCCAGGAGGTAGGTCTGCAGCTCTCTTTGATGTGATCTTACTGATGTGACAAGCTGTGACTTTATGGGGGGAAGTGACTTAAAGAGGGTGATTTACAGTGGGGGTTTGCAGACAAGAGTCTGCAGGCAGCTTGGTGGTGGGGTGAAGGAAATGGAGAAATATTTTGAGCTGTTAATGGGGGCTTTCCTGCTGTGCCGTGCAGTTTCTCCTGCTTTCCTGTCTATCAGGAAATTTCCTCCCTCTTTTACAGTGCTTCTCCTTGCCAATGAACACAAATTCTGTCCCTTTGGGTCTAATTCTTATGTTATTCTATAGTTTAAAGGTTAACCCTCTCTCCACTGTAGTACTATTGTTTTGAACTCCCGTATGAGGTGGAATAAAAGCTGTTAAACTCTAGATTGCCACAAATTAGAAGGGACTAAACTCTGTTTGTTGACTATGTGTTTGCAAGTGGGATTTTGTTTATTTGTTTTCTTGACTCCTGCCTTTATAGTACACTATGTGCTTGGCAAGCACGGATACCCCCATGTCACAAGGTCAGAGAATTGAAATTCTCGATGTATAAGCATCTGACTTGGGAATTTTGATGACTGACTATCTCTGGGCCTTCTTAACACTTGCTTTAAGAGGGCTGCAAATCCTCTGACTGGCATGACACAGTAGTATGGGATGTACCAAGGGATTTGCTGAGCGACTTTTCAGGTCTCCAGCAAAAGAGCTTTTGTGAAAACTTTCTGTAAAGCAGTTCAAATTAGTTGGGGTTGCAGAGGAATTGTCAAGTTCTCTCTTGTGCTGCTTGCATGACCCTGCAGAAGTTGCTTGTTTCTTTTCCTGGCCAAAGAGCTGAGACATTGACTTTCCTTACCGTGACATATCTCTGGGTGTGAACATACTGAAATTGATGCAAGATATTTCACTGAAGCTGTGGGGATTGCCGCTGGAGGCCAGAAAGGAGAATCCAGCCTTTTCCAAAGAGCACAGAGAGAGCTGGAAGTGAGTGGCAAACACAAGCAAAGCCATTTCCTGTCTGCAGAGGAAGTTCTGCTGGGCAATGCAGATCCTGTCCTTGTGCTCCGTACTGGGACAGAGTCGTGTGTGGTATCCATCACTCCCAGAGCTCTGCTGTGTTGCCCAGGTATGTGGCAAGAACCTGTCTTTCTGCTTTCAGAAGCAAAAACCACACTGCTAATCTGTAGGCATTTCTTGCTGTTTTTCATTGGGACACTGCTGTTTTAAGTCTTCACGGTCTTAAAATTGGCAGGTTTCTAGTCTAATTGCTTCTTAAAGTAATGATGTATTTTTCCATGTCTTGCAATTAGATGTTTAAGTAATTGAAGTTACTTAGCTCTTTAGTTTCCCGTCATTGAGAGAAAATATAAGTGAAAAGTAAGTAATCTAACTTACTCAGGCAGGCAAGCCAAAACAAGGGGATGAGATGTGCAGAGTGAAGATGATGCTAAGTGTCACTGTGTTGGAGGGGCACAGGCTGAGCTCCAGTGCAGAGCAAGTGGGTGGAAACTCAGACAAACTTGATAGAATCAACTGATTGAGGTTGAATGACAATAAAATGTACTCCTACAGAAATCCCATGATCCCTATCAATAGATAATTTTGCAATGGAAATAACCAGCTAGCAGCAGTAAAAAAATAGGACATTAATAAATTAACTTTTCCGGTTAGCATCATTGAATAGTTAAGTAGTGTTAAAAGTTTAATTCAGACAGATAGCTTACAAAAAATTAAAAGAAATAGCTTAGAAAAGCACCCAGTTACTTTTCCTCTTCTCTAGTTTCCCAGGAACATCATCCCCTCTTGTCTTTCCCACAGACCTATCAAGGTCCAGACTTGATTTGTATAGACCACAGGGAAAACCAGGAGGAGCTAACTAGATTTTTGCACGGGGCTGGTCATGCAAACCACCAAGTTTGCATTGCTGTGTGAGCGGGTGTGTTTTAAACAAACAGGTATTTTATCAGAGGGAGCCTTCCTGAAGTATTTTTACTTTGAGGAGAGGGAATTGTTCCCTCTTTAAGTTCCTGGTTTATGTAGTAATGGTGTTGGCTGCTAAAATACACCTGGTTTCCAAGGAAAGGTGTAGACACTGGTTTTGCTTCAGATGCCTTTGAGTGATGAGGGTGTAACAGGTTGGAGAAGGCACTTATTCTGCTACTCTGATTTTTGTTGTTGTTAATTCTGCCTACATGTAAGTAGTACTTACCCTTATTAATCCCTCTCTCCATTCTCCCATTTTGTAATTTCCCAGCCTCTATTGTGCTGCTCCTGCTCTTCTCAGCGCCCATTCCTTTTTTTTTTTTTTTTTTTTTAAACCTGGGTGACAGCAAGGAGCTTGATTCATACTGTACATATGCAGAAGGGTTTCTTCACGCAAGAAAAATCACATGTTGGGGTAAAAGCATTCCTATTCCCCTGTGTCTGTTCTCCCTCTTTCGTCTCTTTCCACAGACTTGCACTCAAACTTGACCTTTTCACTTAACTCTTGCTCTGTGGCAAGCAGAGAAGCAGGCTGCCTCACAACGCTTCCATAGTCAGCACCATGTATTTCAGATCCACTGAGGAGAGAGCACTGCCTGCTCGCAGCCTGAAGTTTCCAAAAATCCCTATTCTAGTAGCAGTTAATGTGTCTTATCAGTCTATGCTCTGGGTAAACCACTCCCAAGCAGATATGACAAAAGTCAAGAGATAGTTCCCACCAGCTGGCACTTGCATGGCACATTTGCATGGCACCAAAAGTAATTTATGGTATCTGTAGAGAGTCACAGACCTCTTTGATCAGTATTGCTCAAGAAGAAAAGAAGTTTTTTAAATGTGATAATGCTATGCATTAGGAGAGATCCTGGCTTTTGTTTTCTGTAGCTCAGTGTAGCTGGGAGTTGAGATTGGATTTTTGCTTGCCTGCTGAGCAGGTCCTTTGGGAAGGACTGGCAGAGGGCAGAGCTGGGGGGCCAGTGGACATTGGTACGTATCTTGTTTTCCTCAGGAAAGTTGTGATGCACTGGTTATTGCAGGCAGACAGGTTACAGACTTCCTCAGGTAATCCTGCCTGCTTGCCTGCTGCTAAAACAGTTGCTTCCTACACCAAAGGAATGGGTTTCCCTCCCTGTGGTGTCAGCTCTCTTTGAGCGGAGATCCCTTCTTTTTTCCTGAACAAAACCCAACCTTCAAAGCAAGAGTTTTATCCTTATACCTGGAGGTACATCTGATATCTTAGCTCCACCAGGCTCTGTGCTTCCTGTGATGGAGCTGGATGATTCATAATGGCCCCAACCTACAGGCAACATCCAGGGAGCTTGTGGGCATTGTAGGTTCACCTGGAAGCTTCTACTTTTAATCACTGAAGCATTTGAATTTAATGCAGCACAGTCTCTATGAAAAAAGACAATGAGGAAAGGGAATAGAATGCTGGGGAGTTGAAAAATTCTGTATTTTTTTCAAACAAGTTAGTTCAGATGTTGCTAATTCAGTGTACTCTGAATACAAAACTGGACAAACTGGGAATGCCTCTGCACTGTGTGGACAGCAGGTGAGACTTGCCATACAGAGCAAGAAGAATGTGAGAGTTGGTAATTTGTTCCTGTTCAGGGTGAAGGGAGCTGTAGACTCCTCCTCTGCAAGAATGAGGTTGGTATCACAAAGTTGCACAGACTGGGAGTCTGGGTACATTGAGGTTGTGGAAGAAGCAAAAATAATAGTGTGAGGAGCTGCTGTAATACCCTGGGCTCTCACAGGAACCAGATCTCCATAATATTATTAGAGACTTATCAAAGTGAAAACTTGTCTTCCGAGACACGGTGTGAACCCAAAGCCTGCCCGTTTCTTTGTGCTGATGAAGGGAACCTGTCTGTTCCTCTGAGCTCTCAAATACCTCCTTAAACACTTACAGAGGGGTGTCCTTAAAGGGGGCTGAAGCTGCTGTAGCACTGGTGTATATGAGCCACTGGAGGTCAGCCAGAGCAGGATCTTGGTTCTCTGAGCTAACTCAGACTTGTGCTGGCCAGAGCACCTTCCTGGCTTTTCTCCATTGCATCTGAGTACTGCTCTGGGATGGAGGAGCTGCTGGGGTATCTCTGGCAGAGGATCAGGGTTGTTGAAATACTGCTACTCCTAGAATTCCTCACATTAGAGGTGCAACAAGGCTGTGGCATTGCAAGCAGGGTTGGCAGAGCTGGCAGTTGTGGTGCAAAAGCTGGGCTTTTTCCTGGCTTCTGTTTGTTGTGACCAGGACTTTTCCAGGGATGCTTTGTACAGCCCATCTCGCAGTTCATGTTTTGGGATGAATTGTTGATCCTTTGCAGTTCCTGGTATCTTTCCACCAGCTGCAGAGTGCATCAGATGCTTAGTTTGGGCAAGGTGTTTCTTATGTGCGTAGTAGAGCAACTAGGATGCAGAGCAGGTTGTCTGCTGGTTTTTTTCAAGGCCAAATCTAGAAGTAGTCTGGGTAGTTTCACCACATTAAATTCAACTTTCTAATATGAAGTATGACTAGATGATATGTGACAACCTCAGGCAGTCTAGTGGAAATGTTCCTACCCATGGTGCGGGAGTTGGACTAGATGTCATTTAAAAGTCCCCTTCCAAGCCATGTTTTCCATGTTTTATAATTCTGTAAAACAACATGTGATGGCATACAGTTTCTCAGTAGGAGTGATAGTTCAAATATTATTTTACCCTGAAGGAATGGAGGCATATTTTGTAAAAAAATGTTATTCCCAATGAATTAATATATGTGCTCACAACTGGTTCTTCAATTTTGACCACCACATCTCATGATGTGCAGTTTTACCTGACTGCTGTGTTCTTCTTCCAGTTAAAAATATCAGCAGTTCCTATTTTTTTTTCCTGTGTGTTTACAGGGAGGTGGATAAGGCTTCTCTCCTCTTTCAGTATGTGTGGTCTGCTTCTGTCCAGGGCAAAGATGCTGGGCTGGTATGAGGTATCCCATGCTACCTGGGTATGCAGTTCCCCAGCAGGTCCACAAGAATTTCTTTGCATAGCACTGAGAAGATGAAAAGTTAAAAAGGTTCACTTTTCACTGATTTGGTAAATAGAGAGAAAATTCTGGTGGAAACACCTAAAACCAATTTAAGCCTTGCCTTCACTGGTTGGTATTGTTTCCACAGCATCATAGATATTCAATGTAATGGAACTATTAATAATAAAAATTAAATAATATAGGAATAATAAGCTTCAATTTTCAATAATCTTGATACACTATGTGTGATAGTGTACAGTGCCCTTAACCAGAGTATTTAGATCAGAATACAGAAAAAATTACAGACCACTCAGATGAAACAGCAGAATAGTTTTTCGGGCAGGCAGGTCATCACTCCCTCTTAGGGTTTGCTTTGGAGGCCAGAAGTCCCACTTATGCTTTTAGAAATTTTTACAGAAAAGTACTTTTTTTTGTTTTTAAAGGATACAAATAATAAAAGAAAAATGCTTCTAATCTATCCTAATTTTGATGAAAATTCCCTAATCTGTAAAAGAAGCCAAAAGGTGGATTGTTGCTGTCTGTAATACTTTGTTCTCATTCAAAACTAAATTTCTTTTATAACTCAGTTCAGTTGAAACAGAAGGTATTTCTATAGAGTTTGTAGTACATATATTGACTTGAGGCAATGGCCATGGGTTTTGGGGGTGCCAGTGAAAAGCAAAATCATTCAGTTGACCACATGGTTCAGAGAGCAGCACGTTCAGGGTTTTCCAGACAGGTTGCATCTGATGTTGGCAACACACCTTACCCTTGCCTAACATTTTTAAACTTCAGTATCACAGAGAACACACTTAGAGCCTTGCTGTCAATCAGAATAGTTGCAATTAATGCCTGAGGTTCATGACTGGAAGCTTTTGGCTGGGTCACTTCCCAGCTATCACACTCCGGAAGTCGGAGTCCTCCCACGTGAAGCCTGAGGACCTGGGGGAAGGATTTCCTCCCTTTCCTGACAACTTTGCTAATTTTCATTTTGGGATTGAGTCCTGAGCAGTGGACATGGCTTTATGAATTCAGAAACATTTGATACAGTAGTCCTTGCAGTTGAGGTCACTATCTTTGTGAGGCTCAACTGTAGTTGGTCTGGAGGGATGCTTTACCTTCATCCATCTTCTCTGAATGTGAGCAGCAGTTGTGAAGGGAGAGACAATTCCTAGACTTCAATACAATTATTTTTTGTTTCTGTATTACAGTGCTAGTGATAAGGGAAATGCAGATTTTTTCACATAATAAACTGATAATTGATCTGTTAATGAGATACAAGTGTATGTGTTTGTTTTTGGCCAACATGGAAAGGGTAAACTCTGGGCGGTTTATTAATAGGATGGTGCAGAGGCAGAAGAGGATTTCCCTGGGAGCCCAGGTTCATGAAAAGGCTGTGTAACCTGGGGAGGATCTGGGTAGAAGTCCTAACGTGGGTGAAGACCTGGGGCTCCTGCCCTCCTCATGTCTTGGGACAAACAAATGTACCTCAGGAAACTTCTCACATATAGAAAAGACAAGTAACACATTTTACAGAACAAAGCAAAGTGTCAATGACAAGCTCATAATATAAAATATTGATACAAAAGATGGAACCTTGCCTGTGATGCCATTGCATCACCTAAGGAAAAAGTTTTTCTGGGCAGGATAACCAGAGCAAGCGCCTGGTCAGAGGTACCCAAGATAGGTGTTTTGGGCAGCAGCAGGTTGATGTTCTCAGCTGCCATATTCATTCATTCTGTGCTCCTCTGGAGAGGATGGTGTGTGCAGTACGCCTCTTTGTCTGAGTAGGGCTTTGAGTCTGCATGTGGTAAAAAATAAAGTTTTTCAGATGAGTCAAAACCTGATGAAGTGCGTGATGGCCCTTCTATCCCAAGAGATTTAATCCCCCAATCTCCCACTGTTCATCAAAAAATCCCAGTTTTTGCTGAAATTGACTTTATACTGATAAATGATTTAGAAGGGATGTGATGAACAAAGGTGATGAAGGGTCTAGAAAGTAAGTCATATGAGGAGTGACAGAGGGAGCTGGAGATTTTTAGTCTGGCAAAGAGGAGGCTCAGGGGAGACCTTACATCTCACTACAACTACCTGAAAGAACCTTGTAGCAAGGTGGGGGTCAATCTCTTCTCCCAGGCCACCAGCAGCAGGATAAGAAATGGCCTCAAGCTGCACTAGAGAAGGTTTAGATTGGATATAAGGGAGAAGGTCCTTCCTTCATGGCAAGAGGAAGGACACTGGTAACTACAGTACTGTCAGTCTCACTTTAGTGCCCAGTTAAATTATGGAGAAGATTATTCTGGGAGTTATTGAAAAAACCCTGAAAGAAAACGCAGTCATTGGTCATAGCCAGCGTGGCTTCACAAGGGCAGGGTCCTGCTTGACAAACAAATTCCCTTTTATGGCAAGGTAGCTCACCTTGTTGAGGATGTGATCTTTTTGGATTTCAGTAAAGCTTCTGATGCTGTCTCTCACAGGATCCTTCTGGATACATCATGTGGTGGGTGAGCAGCTGGCTGACAGGTCAGACAAAAAGGGTTGCAGTGAATGGGGTGGCATCAGGCTGGTGACCTGTCACCAGTGGGCTTCCACAGTGCTCCATCTTAGGGCTAGTGCTCTTCAACATCTTCACTAATGACTTGGATACAGAACTCAAAGACACTAAAGTGGGAGGAGCTGTTGAAGGGAGAGAGGCCCTGCAGAGAGATCTCAACTAGTCAGAGGGCTGGGACATCACCAATCATGGGAAGTTTGACAAGAACAGGTGCTGGATTCTGCATCAGGGCAAGCCTGGATGTATGGACAGACCAGGATGCAAAAGGCTGGGAGAGCAGCCCTGTGGAAGCAGACCAGTGGGTCCTGGTCAATGGCAAGTTGAACATGGTCAGCAGCCAGGAGGGCCAGCCATGTCCTGGGGGACATCAGACACAGCATGGCCATCCAGGCAAGGGAGGGCACTGTCCTGCTCTGCTCTGCCCTGCACTGGGGCAGCCTCACCTCTAGTGCTGGGTGCCACAATGTAAGAGAGACATAAAACTATTGGAGAGGAGGAGGGGTCACAAGGATGGTAAAGGATGTGGAGGGGAAGCTGTATGAGGAGCAGCTGAGGTCACTTGGTCTGTTCAGTCCAGAGGAGACTGTGGAGAGGTCTCATAGTGACCAACAACTTCCTTGTGAGGGAAGGCAGATGGACAGGCACTGATTTCCTCTCTGTGGTGAGCAGTTGCAGGGAGTACTCTGATGTTTTGTTGGGGGAGGGTAAAGTTAAGTATAAGGAGAACGGCCTTCACCCAGAGTGTGGCTGGGCGCTGGAAGAAGCCCCCAGGGAAGGGGTCACAGCCCCAGCCTGACTGTTCAGTACTCTCATGGTCCAGAAGTGAGCAATGCCCTCAGGCACATCGTGTGACTCTTGGTGTATCATGTGATGGGCTGAGAGTTGTAGTTCTGTGGTTCTTGTGGCTCCCTTCCAGCTCAGGACATTCTAAGATTCTATGGCTTTGTTTGGTTTCATAGCAACAGGATGTTTGGCACTGGGCAGAAGCTGGCCAGGGCTGACACAGATAGAGGGGCTTGGAAGAAGTTTGGAATGTGTTGGATTTTTTCCCTTCTTTTTTCTTTGTCAAGACTCGCCTTTTTGAAGGAGAGAGTAAGAGAAGATTCACTCCTTGTTGTAGGCAATCCCTATTCAGCCAGGGGTGATAGGTGTTGTCCTTGGTAGTCAGGGAGACACACTGAGCAGAGGCATGGAGTGGGCTTCACAGAAAGGTCACACCACATAGGTCTTCTCCCTCCAAAGGAAAAAAAAAACAGGGAAAGTTACTTGTACAGGACTTTTTTTCATATGACTGAAAACCAGCCTTTGGTTAGGAGCAGTTTTTAAAAGGGATTTTTCTCCAGGAACAGATACAAAAAGGAAGTAGGTAAGGGCAAACCCAGATTAGACATTGGACTGGGATTAATTTGAAGAAGAGATGAAGGAAAGCACCTGCTTGCTGTGGGAGAATGTGGGATTTTTGGCTTCATAGGGATATGAATGTCTCACTTCATTTTGAGGATGATGAGGCACTGCAACAGGTTGCCCAGAGAAGCTGTGAATTCCCTATCCCTGGAATTATTCAAGGCCTAGTGGAAGGTTCCCTGCTCATGCCAGGGGTTTTGGAATGAGGTGATCTTTAAGGTCCCGTCCAACTCAAACTATTCAATGATTCTATGAGGTCTGTTTTTTCTTGTTTGCATACCTGTACCTGGGGACTGTTCTAAAACCTGCAGAGAGTTGCTGAGCTTTAGTTTCTACGAAATAGGTGTTGGCTTACCCTGGTCTGTATCCGGCAACTCCCAGGAGGTAACATTTCCTTCTTTTTGTTGCCCTAGAATAGAAATATTAAGGACAAAGATGCACAGGGAAAGGCAAAGTCAAGGGAGAACAGACAAATGAAAAACCTCTGCCTTGACAAGCTGCAATTTAAATGTAGCTACAGCTTGCAAGACCTGACATTACAGGGAATGCTAAAGATGCCCAAGTTAGTCTTGCAATATATTTGAATGCCCATCTCAGTACTTCATTTTGCATACATACGTGAGATGTCCAGGCATCTGAGCCACATCTGCTGGCCCCACCATTTTATTGGCTCTGGAAGCACTCTGAAACAGCTTCTATTCCAAATAAAGTACTCGGAGCTGTTCAATTTGAAAACAAAGTAGAGTTTAAGCTAAGTAGAGCGAAGTTTACTGCTGCACTTGTTATGTGATTCTGGTCTAATTTTAATTCGGGGATAGTAAATATGCTGGTTACACTCAGCCAGTAAAGCAAAGCTATGTGGAAGAGGATGTCTGTATTTAGCTCTTATTGTGCTAATACCTCAGTTGTTAATGTGCTACAGAGGAATTTCTTTAAATAATATGCTGTATAAAAAGGGGCCACATGTGTTTTTGTTGTCACATCCGAGGCTGTGTCACATGGCAGAGAGAAGGACAGATGCACTATTGCTTATTACTACTACCCCTTTTGCCTTCAGAAGGGTACATTCCTTATATGTTCATACCAGTGGATGAAAGTGCTATGTCTTTATCCACCTCTGTCTTCAGGACAAGTTAGAAGTATTTTCCAGAAGGAATCTGAAGAGGGGGAGTAGATTTTGGGCTTGTCAGATCCTGTTGACACAGGATAAGAAGGAAATTGGTTTCCCCTTGGACATCTTTATGAGCCAGCACCAGTGTTAGTGATAGAGAGAATGCAGTGTTGTTTAATTAAAGCTTTCAATTTCACACTTTAAAAAAAAAAGTAGTTTCACACTTAAAAAAAAAAAAAAAAGTAATATCTACTACTAGGCACACATTCTTTGCAGACTTACTAGACGTCCCTCTGCTGCCCCTGTTGAATGCCTTGTAGTTACTCAGCAAAATAAACAATCCTTCCTACTTACGTGGATGACAGTAATGTCTTTGCCAATCCAGGGGTTGCTTTACTTCAGTCTGTGGCTCCTTAGAAGTTTTATAAAGATTTGGTGCCATTATGTAAGCCTTCATGGGGTCCCCTGGCTAGCTCTGGACCCCAGCTTTGCTGACAACAAACAAGGGTGAAGAACAAAGGCAAAAGATTTGAGGTGGTCTTCTTCTCGGGATTAATGTCCCACAGCTTTATTGTGAAACACCTCCAGGGAGTAAAGAGGCATCCCAGAAGGAAAAGAGAGGTCGAGGGTCTTGTGGCAGGGGATTTTAAACCCAGGGGGCAGGGAGCAGAAGAGAGGGGCCACTGCCAGTGGGATACAGCTGATGAGAGGGATGAGGGGATAGACTGACCTGGGGTAAGACCACCACCACAGGACCTTGGAGGAGGAGGGGTGTGCAGAACAAACCATGTGATACAAACAAACCACTCAGTGCAATATAAAAACTACTCAGTGCAAAATTCCAATCACCCAGTGCAAAATAATAACTAAATAAACTACTCAGTGCAACACAACAGTTTGGGGAAAAAACAATGGTAGTCTTGTTCTGGTACTCTTATTTGACTGGTTTATTGCCTTCACTTAACTAATTCAGGGGAATGAAATTTTAAAATTATGATTAGGAAGAAGCTGGAGATTACCAGTGGCCTTCCTAATAAGGTGGTGTTTATACTGTAGGCAGACTGGTGTGCACATATCTTTCTTAGGAGTTGGAATGGTCCCTGACGATTTCAGAGATGATTTCTTATTTAAAGTAACACTATGTCTTTTTTTTCCTTGCAGAATGAAGAGACACAAATGGTCCTACAAATGTCCCTCACAAAGGAAGATCTTGATTCTGTGTGTTACTGGGTGGCTGATTGCACTGTTGAAGCTCCTCCATGTTGAAAGACACTTTTTTCCCTCTAAAGGCATTTACTTAGTTGAGCACGTCTTGAGCACTTCTTCTTATGTTAGAAACAGATATTCATACTCTAGAAATGAGTTCCAGTATGAAATTAATTGTTCATCTATATATGAACAAGATCCTCATGAAATTGGCAAGAGTTTAGAGATAAGAAGAAAAGAAATAGTTGATTTAGCAGATGAAGATGTTGTAGCAATGACAAGTGACTGTCACGTGTATCGTTCTCTTAGGAAATATCAGCTAAAACCTGTTTCTCCAGAGGAGGAGAGTTTTCCAATTGCCTATTCTTTGGTTGTTCACAAAGATGCAGCAATGGTAGAAAGGCTCATACATTCATTGTACAGTCATCAAAATGTTTACTGCATCCATTATGATCAAAAAGCAGCAAAAAGTTTCAAATCTGCTTTGAACAATCTAGCTAAATGTTTCCCAAATATTTTCATTGCATCAAAATTGGAGACAGTGGACTACGCACATATTTCACGTCTGCAAGCAGATTTCAATTGTTTGTCTGATTTGATGGACTCTCCAGTTCCCTGGAAGTACGTTATCAATTTGTGTGGCCAAGATTTCCCTTTGAGATCAAATTTTGAGTTGGTTGCTGAACTGAAGAAACTTGATGGAGGAAACATGCTGGAAACTTCAAAGCCAAGCAGTAGCAAAAGAGAACGATTTACTTATCACTATGAACTTATGAAAGTGCCTTATGAATACATGCAGATGCCTGTAAAAACCAACATTTCCAAGAATCCACCACCTCATGATATTGAGATATTTGTAGGCAGTGCCTATTTTGTTTTAAGCCGAGAATTTATTCAATATACCCTTGAAAGCTCACTTGCAAAAGATTTTTTTGAGTGGTCAAGGGACACGTACTCTCCAGATGAACATTTCTGGGCCACTCTGGTACGTGTCCCCGGGGTCCCTGGGGAAGTTCCAAGGTCATCCCAGGATGTAACTGACTTACAAAGCAAAACTCGCTTGGTGAAATGGAATTATCTGGAAGACTATTTGTATCCTCCATGCACTGGTGCCCACCTTCGCAGTGTCTGCATCTATGGGGCTGGAGAATTAAGATGGCTTCTGAATTCTGGACACTGGTTCGCCAACAAGATTGACTCCAAAGTAGATCCTGTCCTGGTAAAATGCTTGGCAGAAAAGGTGGCAGAACAACAGAAGGAGTGGGTACATTTGTCCTCTGATGAGCACTTTCTGCACTTAAGTTCTACGAATGCCTTGGCATAGCAGTGCTGTGTTCTCTGCTGGCCGTGCTGCGTGCCCAGCGCCGGCAGTTCTGCTGCCCTGACCTGCTGCAGGATGACATGAGGAAAAGGCCCATTCTATACAACGTCCAGGGCTCAGCAGAGCCAGGTGCCTGGCTGTTTATTTATGTAAAGTAATTTCTCTCTGATTAACTGTTTTGTCGCATTAAACCTGTAATTGTCTTCAGGGTGATTCTGAGATGGTGAAGTTTGCTTTTGGAGGCTCTTGTGCTCTCTGTCCCAGTGGAGTATTTCAGAAATGTATTTTACTTCAAGTGTGTTTCTATCTTTTATAAGAAACTTTAGCAATTCTGTCTCCCTGTCCTCTTTTCCTTCACTTTTGCTTTTTTTAAAGGAATAAAGGGAAGACCTCTGTATCTGCTACCTCAGGAAAACTGCAAGTGCCCATCTCACAGAAAAAAAAACAAGAGATCAGCATGAACACCAAATGAGCCATGTGACCTCACCTGAAGTTCCACATATCTCATCTGTGGGAGCTGCATAGATCTTTGCAATGTGACTATGACTGGATGATATAAGGGGAAGAAGATCCCTATATACTGCGTTGTGTGTACCATTGTTCTCTTCTCCCAGCTAACCTGGGTGTTGCTTTTCCTTCTACAAAGCATGTGATCAGGTGCTGTGCCAACACTGTTGGTTTCACAAACAGTGAAAGTTGGTTGAAACAGCTGTGCACTGTTGAGTGCACACAGTTGTGTGTTCTCCAAAGGCAGAATACGTGCGTGCCCTGAGGGCAGTCTCTGCAGCCACCTGGGGGAGGTATTTGTGCCAAAAGAGGTCTATCTTCATTTCTGTCCCTGCCTGTAGGAATATTTTTATGTGAAATTGCAGTCCTCTTGAGACAGTATCCCTACACACAGTGCTGTTTCCAGTTGGTGTTCAGCAGTGTGGTGCTTTGTTGAAGTGTTGAACACACAAAAGTTGAGCAGTGACCATAAGAATAGCCATATTACAGAAGTGAAGACCCTGCATGAAGTGTGTTTCTGTGCAAGTCCCATGGCTGTGCAGTACCATGATCCCAGGCTGACAGGAGCCTGAATGGGCCCTGGGTCAGCTGTGGAGCAAGAGTTCTCCTACAGCCCCTGCTTGCCAGGGCCCTGCCAGGCCTCCTGGGAGGGAAGTGGCTCAGGAGCCTTCTTGCAGCTGGGCTTCCTACACTCCAGCATGAGGGAGGTGTTTGCAAGGGCAGGTGTCTCTTCAGAAACTCCTGCAACTCAGAAGTACCCGTGGCATTTTTGGGGGTTTCCCTGGAGTGCTGCCCTGCCACAAGTTCAGTTTTGGTGGTCCCAGTGGATCCTCCATGCCACTGTCTTCTTTCTAGCCATCTGTCTTTTACTGAGGGACCTTTCCCCATGAGTGACTTTGGGATATCTGTATCTGGTCTTACTGATCTACAGATTGCTGTAGTAATGACTATATCTCATATCAGTGGGAAATATTTGTTCCTTATTTGAGCTGAAAGTTGCTTTTTGGTCTCAGTTTTTGTTTATAAATTTAGTCACAGTGAAGTCATTCGTGGCTCAAGACTGATTTGAGAGTCAGGATTCTCAGGCATTTTTCCACATTTGTGACACTGATTTTCAGTAAGACCTCAGACAAGCCACCTGAGTTTTCTGTTTCAGCTGTTCCCATTGTAAAATGGGAACCATAATCTTCTATTGTCTTACTAAGCACTTTGAAACCTGTGGGTGTTGTGGGTATGATTGCACAATACCAATTATTTCGTATTAACTTATTTTGTGGATTATTTATTATCCACAAAACTATTTATGGACTCTGGCTGCACAGGTCAAGTATTTCTTAAATGTACTGTTTCTGAAATAAATGGGGGTTATTTTTAAAGTCTGTGTTGCATACTTCAGTGACATGCCCTGTCTATCCAAGGCTGTCCTGACTTGATGTAATTTATAAATACTTTGTAGAAATTAAATATTGATAGTACTTACAGATTCCTATATTAGTGCTTGCATATAAAATAGAGTCCTCATGTGGTAAAAAAGTTAATAAAAGAGTTTGTTAGGATCCCAGAGGGCTAAGCTACAGCCTTCTGTACATATAAATTGATGCTTAATGATATATTTTAAATTTTGTATTTATTTAAACTGGCTTTATGTATGTATGTACACATATACCCTTTTGGGTTTAATTGTAGTTGTTTGATCTGCCATAGATTTATAAAAATAATCCACCAGCACATTAAACTTCATTGAAGTGTGTAATTTTAATCAACATGCGACTTGTTGCTATTTTAATTGAATTGGGTTGAGTGATGCCTGTCATTTACGTAGTTTGAAAGGAGGCACCTCGTTCTTCCCAGGTGGTGGTGAAGTGGGTGCGGATGTGGTGTGGTGTGGGGCACATGAGGAAGTGGGCGGTGTACAGACATAGCTGCAACTTTATGAAGTGCTGATTTTCCAATGAATTCTAGATGCTTCTGTTGTTTTGAAAGCAACTTTAAAGGCTATTCAAGGTTGTAGAAAGGCAGTTCACCAAAAATTCAGTCATTGGATTGGTGAGGCTGGAAGATCCTCTAGTCCAGCCTCTTGCTCACAACAGGATCAACACTGAATTTGAGCTGGTTCCTTGGGTTTTCCCAGGACTCTTGCAGATCTCTAAAGAAAGAGGAATATTTTCCATTGTTTCCAAAGAAAAGAACAGTTAAAATATGTGTCTTAACTTTTGACTAGCTTTTTGTCTGCTTTTTGGCTTTGCATTCAGCCGTGTTGCCATACTGATGCCTGGATCACAGTTAAATGATTAGACGACAGGAGTGGGTAACATCCTCATCGTCACATGCTCTGCCACTGCTGGACACAAGGCATGGTACACAAACTTTCTGTGAGGAAAGTGGCTGAACCTAGTTTATGGCAAAACAAAAAGTTCTATTTCGGCTGAAACTTAGATTATAGGCACTTACCTGTTCTCATATGGTTTGTTGGGGGTTTTCTTGGTGGTTTTCTTTGTTTTTTGGTTTTATTTTATTTTCCTTAATGAAGCTTAGATTTCCTTTTTATTTTTTCCTCTTCATTCTTTTCCTCACTTCTGAGAGATTTCCCTTGTAACTTATTTCACAAATTGGAAATACACAGACATTTACACGTACTGGTTTCTTCTGGTTTTGTTCTGCTGAAGAAGCACTGTGCTGGCCTTCTACCACCCACCCTGCCCTGTGCTGGTCACATGGAGAATCTGGACCATGGGAAGGAGTTAGATGGTATTTTTACAGGGGAGCAAGGACAGTAAGTTTTATTGCTAATGAGCCTCCATTTATATGTCTTAGCAGAGAACTTGTTTAAGTGGAAATGCTTACATATAGCGTGGTTGCTGCTGCCATCTCTGATTGAGGTGAGACTTGAGTTAGTATATTTTAAAAACAAAGATGATTTAGCAAAGAAATTCTTGTTGCCTGTATCAGTATCTTGTCTTGTAAAAAAACAGGTGCTTAAAAATTTACTGGAATTTGTCTAGGGGATTACAAAAATACTCAGGGGACTGTGCTGGCTGCATCAGAGAGGGCAGAAAAAGGAGCATCTGATTTTTCTGCTCATGGCAGGTGAATGGTTTTTAATGATGCTTTCTGTGTAATATATAGTAACAAATTTTTAATATGAGCTAGTTTGAAAAACTATTGACTGACATCCTATTTGCATCTTAAGCATTTGCTTCTAATGTGGGCTTAGTTATAAGACTCTTCCCTGGGCTACAATTAGAGACTTCATTGTGATTCAGATTAAACAACAACAGCTTTTTTATTGCTGAGCATCTTTTCTCTGCCTAAATTTGTGCTCTGACATGAAAAGGATGGCAAGTTTAAGCTTTACCTGGGGCAATGAGAAGATGAGAGAGTATACAGAGATGCTGCAGGTGGCATTATTACCACCATACCAGCTGTTACGCTACTATATTCATAGCCATTGTGCTATTAATGTTGTTGTGGCATAACAGCTGGAAATAAGAATAACTGCATCTTATACTGTAGAAGTTGAAATCGCCATTTATTAATAACTATGACAGGAACTGGAAATCACACTTGAAAATAACTACACACAAATATTTCAGCACTAAATTGCTGGGGACCATAGGAAGTAGGATGAAAATACAGGTGGCATATGCATTTTTATCTGATGTGTGGAATAATTAGCTGTAGATCTATTTCAAGACCTTTCAGATAGCAAAAAGCAGAAGTACTCTTGCTACAGAGGTTTGATATAGCGAACTGAAGGTCCCAATTTACTTTCTCTAAGCAATGTTATGCTTGCTTTTTTTCCCCTACTGTTGTTTCTTACCTTTTAATGCAGCAATCCCAGCTTCTTTATGGTTGTAAGACAACCATATCAATTAAATTTTATTACTTAGTCCTCATTTACTCTAAGCTGCTTTGGAGTTCAAAACTTCCTTTCTGCCCCTGAAGCAAGTCTAAGGATTTTTAGTGTAATCAGCATGTGCCATGGGTGGATTTCTATTTAATTTACTTTAGTGGGACATGTGCATATGCTCAGCTATCCTGGGCCTGGACTGGTACATTTATGTGCTCGAATCACTGAGAAATTAACTGTATTTTACTCCACACATATTTGAAAGGAAAATTAACAAAAATACCCTTTGTTTCTATGCCAAACTTAACTACTTCTTTTTTTTTGTAGAATTCTATGTGGTACAGGAAATATATAGATTTAGATGTAGATATGGTAGTAATTGAATAAACAGATGATGCTGTGACTTGAGTAGGGATAACATAGAGTTGTTATTGTAAGAAGTTGGAGTCACTTTTCTGACTTTTGTATTGCTAACAATATTCTTAAAAATGCTATCTTAGTTCCAAGCTGTTGCTCAACTGGGATGTGGATGCATCCCTCTCTGTAGAACAAAGCTGTTCTCTTGTGAAACCATTATCAGGCTTTGGTGGTTTATTTTGTTTTTAGGTCTCAGATTCCAGAATTGTGTATAGTAGAGCAGAACCAGAAAAGCATGTGTCTGTTGGCATGCAAGTGACTGGACAAGTCAGCCTCTTGAAGATGGAACTGCCTCCATGAGCCAAGGTGGAGCAGGAATCAGGCCACTCAGCCAGCAGAGCAAGCATTGTCTCTGTTTCTTTTCATTAGAGCACATCAGCATTATAATTTTCCAGACCAGCCAGCTAATTTTATTATCTGTGTTGTTTTTATTGGCTGAAGAATCATGGCATTCTGTCTTAAGGCTTTCTTAAATTAAGATTTATTTAAAGTCTGTGTATGTAGATCTTTGCAGCAGACACAGTATGTCTTCAATTAGTGTGCGTCTTGTCCTCATTTGAAACCAAAGCAGCCAAATCAGATTTTGTAGTAATAAAATCATAGAGCTGAAGACATGAAAAACTGAGTCATCCTAGATTTGAGTAGCTATAGCATTCTACTTCTCTGCAGTCATTGAGGGGATAGTTTTGCATTCCGTTTCAGAAATCTGAGACATTTAATAAAGGAGAATACCAAGAAGAATAGACATTAAAGAAAGATTTACCTGGAAGGACTTTTTTCAGTCTTTGTGAAGCAATATGCTTCCATTTCAGTTGTGGGACAGACGTGCACACCACAGAGCTGCTGCTGGCACTGTGGCACCATCACCAGTTTCCCCAGTGCCTCAGAGGCTGTGCTGTCCCCAGCCGAGGCACTGCTCACTGCTCACTAGGCGAGGGGGCAGAAGAGGTGGCCTCTGTCCCACCATTCTAGAAATAACCCTTTGGACAGTGATCCTACCTAGCAGTGTTTCAAGGCCATTGGAGTGGACAAACGTGACAGAAAAGCTCCAGTGTTGCAGCCTGGGGAAAAAGAGGAGACAAGGTCTGGGCTGCATGGCTACCAAAAAGAAAAAACACTCAAGCATGCAGACATGTTCCCTTCAGATGACCAGATATAGGAAGCAGAGGTTTGGGTTGTGATAAAGTGATAAGTGCTCTTTGAAAGCCAGTTTAACCCATAGCAAGAACTCATTTGCTTAGCCCAAGAGTATTTGGCCACCACTTCAACAAAAGAGTTTTTCTGATGTCATATTTCTACTGTTTGTGTTTGCTTGGGGGTTTTGACAGATTTATTTTTCAAAATTGTTTCAAATTTTTCATCAACTAAACTCTTTGAGTTCTGCATGATATTTAAGTCCAGCTCAGGGGTAGAGCAACAAGATTTGACAATGTCTTCAGCTGCCTTTCCCTAGACTTCCATATTTTCCAGGTTAGGTTATGGTAGCATGAGGTTTGGGTATTGTTCACAGAAAGTTTAAAATTAAATTGAAATGTTTTCTGCTAAACAAGTGGCACTTAGCATAGTGTCTGAGAAAGATGGCTCTGAATATCCACTCTCCTGGTGGCTGGTGCCTTCTCCTTCAGCAGAGGTGTGATGAACCTTTGCGCTCCAGTGAAACCACAGTGACTGCTGGGCTGTAAGGAGAAAAGACCTGCATTCTCTTTTGGGTGCTGTTAACTGCACTCAGTGTCCTCGGGTAGCTGGCAACACTGGTGATAAGATCATGTTTGTCCACACAGTCAAGTCATAGGGATGTGAGAGATGCCTGCTCAGACAGTTCAGTTGGTATTTGGCTGTTTTTGCATGGGGTCAAATAGTGATGCCATCCTGGAGTGGTGTCAAGACAGTCAAAGGGTAGGGCACCTGGGAGCTTCTCTTGTCTCCAAGGCTGGGATGAAGTTATATTTGAAGACTGGAATACCAAACCAGGGTGAGTTGCATAGCTGCTGGGTCTTTCCCTGCTAGGTTACTTTACTTCACAGCAAACTAGTGCAGCAGTCTTTCTAACAGTGTATTAATTCCCTTTCCTTTGGCTGCAGGGTAAATACTGCTGCTATAGCCTTTTATTTCTGTTTTCTTTCAAGTCTATTGTTGTGATCATTTGTCCTTTTCTGTGATGTTTACAAAAAAGCAATTCCATTGGTATCTCCTTGCTGAGAAGTCTTGGAAGGCACAACTGGGCCATTGTTCAGCTCTGCAGTTGACCCTGCTGATGCGGACAAACCATGTGCTGAATATTCAATGGAATCTGAGTTATGGATGAGTGACTTGACCAGATAAAAGTAAAATAACACACAGAGGGAAGGGAAAGCAGCCAAAAAGAAATTATGTCAGTGCTTCTGATAAATAGAAATGCCTGCCTTTTTTAACCCCAAGCGACTTGATCTTGGACCATAAATGAAGAAAATTAACACATCTG